CACCTAGGTGGCATTACTCACGAAAGTGATGAGGATATATGTGAGGTGTTTAGCACGCACTTTGCCAAATTGTACACTCTAGAAAACGACCAGGATATAGATTTCCCTCGTAAAACAGAAAAGTGTTTAAGCGATGTAGTCTTTAACGCCCAAGAAATCGATAAAGCTACCACAACTCTTAAGCTTACTAATACTCCCGGCCCAGATGGAATGTCTTCTGTCCTCTTAAAAAAGGGTGGAAATGACATGAATCTACTTCTTCTCAAGATATTTTCAACTTCGATAAGGAGTGGAACATATCCAAATAGCTGGAAGAAATCTTACGTTGTACCCATTCACAAAACCGGGCCTATAGCGGACATAGATAATTACCGCCCCATCAACATTACTCCCGTAGTTTCACGTGTGATGGAAAAGATTATAAAGAAGCAAATTGTTCAGTTTTTGCTCTCGAATGACTTAATATCCGCCTTCCAATACGGTTTCCTAAATAGAAGATCGTGCATTGCTTGCCAATTAGATTATTTCGACCACATTACTGAGTGTGTAGACAAAGGTCGTTCAGCAGCAACATTATTTCTAGACGTTAGGAAAGCTTTTGACAAGGTCCCACATAAGAGACTCATATTGAAACTCCTATCTTATGGAATAAGTGGAAGGCTACTTGAGTGGATAACTTCTTTTCTTACAGGAAGAGAACAGTTAGTTAAAGTCAACCATCACTTATCAACATCCAAACCGATAACCAGCGGCGTGATACAAGGTAGTGTTCTTGGCCCTACCCTATTCATTGTATTCATAAATGATATTGTTTCTATGATCAAGTATGGCAAGCCATACCTCTTTGCAGACGACCTCAAAGTTGTCTATGATTTCGACTATAATGATATGAATATTGTTAGTAAAATCCAAGAAGACCTAAATAGTCTATGTAATTGGAGTGAAAAGTGGCAGTTAATGTCCAATCCAGCTAAATCTGGGATAACATACTTCGGACGTTGGAAACCTAGCATGTGTCTATACATGTACGGTGACCTTGTCTCAAACACGAACACAGTCACAGATCTCGGGGTAACATACTCAGATCTTACCTTTACTGAACATGCAAATAAGGTGGTATCTGATTGTAAACGTCTAACCGGCTTTGTGCTACGCAACTTTTAAACCCCAGAAGCCAGATTAGCCATATATAAGATATGCATTCGCCCCAAACTTGAATACTGTGCCCACTTATACAGTAGCTTTAAATCAGCAGACAGAAAAAAAGTTGAAAGTGTCCAAAGATCCCTGACGAAACGCATATTAGGTTATGATCAGCAAATAGAATACCTTGACAGATGTATTCGACTGGACTTAGAACCCTTATGGTTAAGGAGGGTGAAGTGCAATTTATTTCTCTTATTCAAAGTTATAAGAAAGCACTGTAACAGTAACTCGTCTATAGCCTGGGCTAATCCTAAATCGTATGAACAACCATAACTGCCTTCTCAAGGTTAACACCCATAAGCTCACCACTAGAGCTAACTTTTTCACCATTAAATATTGCAAACTTTGGAACCAACTACCCTCTGAGATTAGATCCTGTGAAAGGCCTGACAGTTTCAAAAGGAGCCTAGAAAAACATATTAACATGTCCACCCTAGCCCTTCTAAATGATCTCAACTGCTGGTAGAGTGGTGAAACCATGACATTTCAATATTTAACTACGGACAGTACACTAGTTCCTAGACTAACCTAATAATACTTAGTAATTATGCATGTTCAATACTTGAAATTAGATTATCATTAAAATACTTAAAATGATTACTTACGCAGCAAATGTTCCCTTAGTTTATCACTCTTATTTCCCTTATAACATTCAGTTTTTGAGCCTAATGTATTCTTTGATAATACGAATTATAACACTGATTACACTCTTATTATACATAGATTGATTTACTTTACGGCTATCTGTAAGACTCACTAACTTTCTGTAGTATTGTTAACCAAATGCTGAAATTTTGTTGGTTCTGCTAATATCTTTTTATAATATATGTAGACAGGTTACTTTGCAATGTCAAATGTTTACTATATATAAAACTGTCATGATAATTTAGTACACTTGGTCCTGCCAACCGACCTTACCTTCAGTTCATACTACCTATATTGAACCCTAACTATATTGTTCTGCTGAATCTTGCTCCACTATTCACAAAACCTATTCTTGTTATTCTTCAAGGTTTTTGACTTCTTATAAAGTAATCTGTTCATTAGGACGCATGCATACATATATAATATGTTCATAAAGATGTACGCGGGGACCTATTGGAAGCACTCATTAAGAAAGCTAGGGAGATGGAATATGGGGTACGAACATGTCTGGTACCAAGCAATATATTTGCGGTAACCATAATAATCATAGTCTCAGAGCCTAACATCAAAAAAGGTGGGAGGGTGGAGTTAGCTGATCAGTAGATATGGTGGGGGTCACTAAGGTGAATCGCCCCATTCTGCAGGAACAGCATTAAAAAATTTGAAGGCTCGAGATATTTCTGATTTTTATGAGGGCTTAAAGCTTTATCTTGAAAAAGATAACAATGAACGCCTTGACAGATCATGCTTCTACCTTTAAATATATACCATTCACCCAGCCTATTGTTGAGATGCGACCACGTGGGATGTGCTCAGATTTATGGGGCATCTTATAAATTAACTTGCTGTCTATCGTCAGATCTTCTCATACCACTCCACAATGTCTTATCTCATTTATTTTCTGACAACGTCTTTACTTGATCCTCATTTTACTCCATTAAACTTAACATCTTATAGCTCTTCATTACTTATTATACTCCTACTCTCTGAAGGGTACGGTTGTGCACTAAATGCACAAAAAGGTATAAAATAAAAACAACTGGCATGAGGATAATTGTATTAAAACCAAAAGTGGATATCATGATAGTTTGTGATATATCTGTAGCATTATACATTGCAAATGAATGTTGTTACCCTAGGGTGTTTCCTTTATTAATGCATTTATTAATGATACTTGCACTTACCTATTTCATTACAATTTAATGATTCACCTCAGCACTTTAATTTTTCTAAAACAGATTCCAATCCTTTGTAAAAGGTGTACTTACCTCAATATTGGTTGGTTATCGTATGCCTACAACCACGGGATGAAAACGGAACGAAGTCGATTTTCCCGCTCAACCTGGAGGACAACTGTACAATTCAATAACTATGCGGCCTAATTCAGAAAATGAGTGTATTATATGTATCGAATATTTAACAGTTGAAATACGATTAACTTGTAGACAATCTACGATTTGATATTATATCATACTTGATCGTGCCTGTAAAAATGGCATGCATTTTCATGTAAATTTGTAAATTTATATGAAATACATTATTATTATTATTAACAATAACGTTATTATACACAAAGTCTAAGAATAAATATCATAACAATTAATCACAGTAATACCTCTGATAGTATTTCTCCGTCTTCTAACGGACAGCGTACGATGGAGCGATGACTGCAGTATCGGTGACTCCCGTCAAAATATGGAGTTGGTTTTAAGTAAACAAACATGAATCGATTGTTCATTCTTCAACTACATTGACATATGTAATACTGACTTCAAATGTGTACAGTTGTATTAGTCAGTATTTTTCAATCAGATAAAATGATCATTGCTTCTTCCTGTAAACATTTAGTCTATGTCGTAAAACTAGTAAAAAACCCATTTGTATGTAATTCCTAGATATTTTTGTGGGTTTCCCTAAAACAGATGCGTGTAGAAGAGCTTTGAGGCCAACAGCAAAGGCAGACAATAAAGAAAGTGGAAATAATTAATAAAATGAAGTAGCCCACATCATCATGTCTTTGTCTAATCCTTTGAACTGCAAAATCACATAACTAGAAGTCTTTATAATGTGTGTCTTTGAGTAACTTGGCTTTTCTTGACGAAGCAGTAAGTAATTAAACTATTTGTAGGCTGGCCGTAAATTGCGGCCCGCTAAGAACATCATTTTTTTCTTTTAATGTTAAAACCGCTTCACTTCGAAAAGTTGAACTTTAAGCTTCATTAACTACCAATGGGCGAACTACTTTCAACGAACCAATGACATGAAAGGTAGATTTTTGATTATAGAAAACTTATATTTACTTAAAATGCATGGAAACTGCATAACACTGCTACATAGGTATCTCTCTATAACATGTGACAGAAAAATGTCTGAGTTAAGCATAGGAGTACCAATAGAAAAGCTACACCACATTCAGTTCATATATCCATCCAAATGACTATAAATGACATACCTTTGAGATCCATCTTTAGCCCTAATATCATTTTTCAGTCTTCTCCAGAATCCTTCTATAGAATTCGTGTGTTTCCCTGTAGTGGAAGCCACAAAATCACTAGAATGATTTACTCTGTGATTAATATACCCAAGGAATGACAAGGAGTTATATCCTTTCCATCCATCGGTATGTACTGTAGATTCCTGTTTCAAGCGTCGAGTGACAATAGGCACTAGGATAGTAGACTTTCTATCTGCTATTCTCCCCAAGAATCGTTTTTGTAGGTAGGTGTCAAATAAACCGATCACCCAAATATTGTTGGCTCGTTCAAGACCAGTAAGACAGTTTCGTCCACGTGTACGACGACACCATCTTCTCCTGAGAACGAAGTAATTCACTCCATTTCCTATGATGCGATGTCTCTGCAGTGCTTGTACTAATGAACTGTTGACATGAGGCTATTTTCAGTTTCGGCAACTGAGCCACTCACGGGCTGTTTTGAAACCCAGTAATTACAAATATACAGAATCTGAGTTAGGGAGAGATGCGAACTAGCGAAAAATGTTCCTACGAAATATTAAAATGATCAGCTTACCTTCTCTAACACTCACTCGTCTCAAAACAAATTGCACAATGATGGACATATCCATCAATCAACCTACTGAAGCTTTTTAAAATAACGACATCACCACATGAACAACTCCTCTTTTGGAGGCTGACGGTATCGACGTTCGCGAATTGTACGGAGTATAATAACGCAAGATCTTATACCAACAACTTCTAAAGTATTCGTTTCTCGTGTACCAAATACAAAGCAAAGTACGAGATATATTTCGGGACCAAGTCGTGAACCATGTTGAGTGCTTAGCTGGCTAATGATCGTGCACGCACGTGACACGACGGAGTACCAAATGGCAAGGATGCTTGACCGGGAGCCTTCAGTCAAACAAGACGACTTAAACAGTGAGGGTCAGCATCCGATGTTCAGTGATGATTGCTGTGGTCGATAATCTTGGGAAATTATTTACCGCTACACTCTCTTTCCTAAGCAACCCCATATCCAGACAATACTTCAAAACTTTATCCTCATCGAACTACAAGCATTACTTCGATAGAGCAGTTATATGACATGAACCAAGCGGAAATCAAGTTTTTACTCACGTGCATGAGCCTCACTGGGCCATTCGAGGTCATTCGCTGATTGGCAGCTAGTTGTGATTAAAGATAAAATTCGCCAGTTACTTCAATAAATGTAGTGATTAGGCATCCACCAATTAGATAACAAGCAAAGCAGGAGACACAAATGTAATGAAAACGAAAGACGAGCTGTGTAAGGGAACGTTTAATTCACGAAATCGACTTTTAAAGAGTGCGGGAGTCCAGTCTTAGAGTATAACGGATTTACTGGTTGTAGCGGTAAATAATTCCCCAAAATTATTAACCACAGCAATCATCACTCAACATTGGATGCTGACCATCACTGTTTAAGTTGACTTGTTTAGCTGAAGGCTTACGGTCAAGCATCCCCGCCATTTGGTGCTCCGTCGTGTCACGTGCGTGCACGATTACTAGCTAGCTAAGCATTCGCCTCTACCCGCGATTTTGTCCCGAAATATAATACGTACTTTGGACGACAAAATCTGGTCTTTTGCTTTACCATTTGGTACTCGAAGAACGAACACTATAGAAGTTGTTGGTATAAGATCTTGCGTTAGTATAATCCGTACAACTCGCGAACGTCGATACCGCCAACCAATAAACTGGTGAGCCCGACGAACATCGATACCCGCAGCCACCATTAAACTGGTGAGCCCAACCACGAACTACATCTTCAATTCACACGCAGATAAACCCGGTGAGTTCGTTCCTTTTTGTGTTTGTTCTTGTACTAAATTGTTATCGCCATACTGTTCGTCATGAGCGATCCTAGCCCCAAGATTATTCAGATTCGCTCAACCGCCAAAACAATCCAGCTAGTACCATATTGGCCAGATAATGCTGAAACGTGGTTTCAGATTGCTGAGTCTGATTTTTGTGAACATGGCATAACTGATCAACGTTCACAGTTCCTTGCAGTTATTCACGCCCTACCGCGGGAATTCAGCAAGTGCGTAACTCTGCAGATGTCGGTAAGTAACTCGTACGAGTTGCTCAAAGCATCCATCCTCAAGAGAAACGTTCTCACAGATCGACAACGTCTGGATGAGTTATTTCGTAACATCGAGCTAGGAGATCAGTCAGCCGTGAACATGCTGGCAAGAATGAAAGAGATCATTGGCCAAAGTCAGTTCGACGAAGGACTGTTCAGAGAACTATTTTTATCTAAACTGCCACAGTCAGTTCAGACTGTACTTGTGACACTTCAAAGTGTTCTCATAGATGACTTAGCTGTCTCTGCAGATAGAATTCTAGAGATAACGAAACGGCCAGTTACCGAAGTATACTCAGTTACCGAACAGGCTTCGAAGAAGGATTCTGCAATGATAGAGTTAATCAACTCCGTCCAGCAGATGCTTAGGTCAAACAAGCCCAGCAATTCCTCCTGCCGTCGTTCTAAATCCCCTCAACGGCTGAACGCACGTGGACGATCTAAGTGCAACACACGTTCTCTCAGAAATCCTGACTGGTGTTGGTATCACAACACCTATGGCAAGGAAGCGAAATGTTGTCGAAAACCTTGTGATTTCGACAAAGCCTCCAAGTCTGTGGGAAACTATCCCGTCGGCACTCGTCAGCGGCAACCGTCGCCGGTGGCACTAGCCGCTTACTTTACATCCATGATGTAATGAGCCAGACTAGATATGTAGTCGACACAGGCGCCGAAGTCAGCGTCCTTCCTGCTACAGCAGCAGATCGACAGAAGGATCCTAACTTCAACCTACAGGCTGCAAATGGAAAACCAATTGCAACCTATGGTCGGAAATACGTCTATCTGAACGTAGGTTTACGCGAACCCATTCAGTGGATTTTCCTAATCGCTGA